GGCGAGGGAGGTAAGGAAGAAGAAGGGGATTGGCGAGGAAGAAGTGCCGACAGCCATAGCTGATCGGGGAGTTGACCGAGAGGGTTGATCGGAAGCGTTGACCGACATTGACCGGGGGTTGAACAAGGGTCATAGCAGCGTTGACCGGCGTTGACCAAGGCCGTTGACCAAGGCCGTTGACCAAGGCGTTGACCAAGACTTTGACCAAGCTGGAGTTGGTAACATCTCGCCAAGCCCTTAGCCTACCCCTTGCCCTATGGATGTGCACATACCCCTTGGTACTTGCTGAGTACAGTCTGTCTGTCTATTCTTTCTGCATTGAGTCTCTTCTGTCCTAAGTTATAGTACTCTGTGGATGAAGGATAGGGCTTGGATGACGAAACCCTAGTCTGACCTAGTAGGGCTAAGACTGTGGCTGATCCAACTTTCCAGGGGGGCATAACCCTCCCAAGGACCGGTGCTGACTGACTGGAAACGATTGGTAGGACTAAGTGGGCCTGAACGGCAGTTAGGGCTGACACACCAAGCAGTCTTTAAGTGTTGAGGGCCTGTTTGAACCACTCCCCTGCCAGACCAAGTAAGGCTGATGATCTGTGTCTGACGACTCGACTGTCCCGGGGGATACGAACCCTCCCAAGGACCGGTAAAGACCGGCGGGCTGCTCGGTGTGGCACAGTAGGCCGGAAAGGCTGAGTTGTGGGCTGAAAGCACAGGCAGAACCAAGCTGATCACGTCATCCTGTCTGCGACGTTAAAGAATTCTTGAGGAGTTACGGGGGATCTCCTTAAATGCCTCCTGATCAGCCAGTGGTTCAGTAGTGACAGCCATAGCATAGGTCTAGGCTAGAGGCCATAGTTGACAGGATCCCTGTAAGGATTCTTTAAGTCTTAGATTGAGTCAGTAGGTCTGTTAGTCAGGGGTTGGCGTCTACGTGGTGAGGTTTGGAACCTCTAACCTGGTTGTACACCTATCACCATGGTTTAGACTCGCACTGGGAAGGAGACTAATCCCTACACCCTTGAACAGCAAGCGAAGATGGACGCCATAGTGAAAGAGAATAAGGAGAGAAAAGAGCGTGAGAAGCAGGCGAGGCTATCGCAGACGAGCGGGCGGCGAAGATGAAGGAAGTGGAGGAGGAGATGAATAAGAAGGAGAAGGCTGTTGAAGAAGAAGCGGCAGCAGAAGAGGAAAAAGAAAGGATGAGGATTGAAAGCAGAGAAGGGAGCAGTGGCACGAAGAAGGGCACGGACGCTGAGATTGAGAAGAAGATCAGCAAGTGGGTTGCTAACTTATCGTTGGGGGAAGATGAAGAGGCGGAGTCATATGTGACTGAGGATGAGAAGGCCGCACTGGCCGCTGAGCTAGCAACCATGACGGACCCGATGGAACGAAGAGAGAGGGACGACGAGCAGAAGTTACAGTGGAAGTTGAGGATGAAGAGGGAGAAGAGGAGGATAGAAGAGGTGAACAAGATGACCGCAGCAGTGGCAAAGGTGCAAGAGTGTAGAGCGGAGGTATTGGCCCAGCCAGATGATAAGGCCAAGTGGGACAAGGTACTGGGGTACCTAGAGGTATTAAGCAAGGTCTGGATGGAGGAGCGTCAGGGAAGTTGGAGCCAGGATGTAGCCTCGAGCGCCATGCGGTCCGGATTTAGGGAGTTTGCGCGCGAAATCGTCACCCACATTGGGGGCGAAGTGAAACAGTTGAGAGACAACATAGGCAAGTACTGCGAAGGCGCCATTGAGGGTGCCAAAGCCATAGCTGCTGCAGAGGGCGAGGGTAGGCCCCGTAAGGAGCCTGTAAAGCTCAAGTTCCCAGACGCGTACGGGGGAAAGAAGGAGGAGAACTTTGACAACTGGGAGACCAGTGTTAACAGTTATATTTACTTGCAGCATATCCTAACAGAGGAGCAAGTCCTCGTGGCCTTTCAGGCCCTCAAAGATGACGCGGCTAGTTTCGCTAGGTCTCGTGCGCGTACAGCCGGTTGTGAAAACAACCTGGTTGCATATTCCAAAGTCACCCCTCTTTCCCAATTCCTCAAGCTCCTCAAGGAGCGTTTCGCTGACCCAACGCGAGGCATAAGAGAATCTGACAAGCTCCAAACGATCCACTCACGGCAGTGGAGGAGTGCCAAGGCACTCAAGGGTACCATGGACGACTTGGTAGCCGTCCCGGACCATGGGGTCACTGAGCCCCAGTTGGTCCAGTTGTTTTATCGTGCCATTCCAGAGGCCCTACACGGGCATTTCTTTGACAAATCTCAGCAGGCCGTCATCACTTACGATGCATTGAGTAGAGAAGTCGTCCTGTATGAGTCGAAGTCTATGCCAGTTACCACTTTCTGGCATAAGGACCTGGAGAAGGGGAAGAAGTGGAAGGATCGTACCATCTCGGGCCAAGTCAAGGCCAAGGATCACTTGATCCTGACATTAGAGGAGGGTGGTACAGAAGAGGTCCCATGTGATCAGATTGAGTGGGGCCTAGGGGAGGAGTACAGTAGTGTAGGGCAAGGGAGGTCTTACGCTGCTGTCGCGGTCGGAGGGAGGCCGCAAGGTAGAGGAGGAGGCGAGGGCCAAAGGGGTCAGGCCATGGGAGGCCGAGGACCGGGCGCACAGGGGGTTGGCGGACAGGGAAACCGCCAAGCGGGAGGTAGGGGTCAAGGTCCCCCGTTAAATCGCCAGGGTAATCGGTCCCCGCAGCGAGGAGGTGGAAGGGCACCTCAAGGCTTGCCGCAGGGCAGGCTCTGGGAAGACTTGGGCTTGGACCAGCGATTATGCCAGGAATGCGTGAACCTGGGTCAGTGCGTATTATGTGGTGACCCGACGCACGTAATTAAATTTTGTCCAAAGTATAGAAAGGCCCGTTGGGCTGCCCAACAGTCAAAAGGCAGCCGCCAGTAGGTGTTGCAACTGCCCCTACTTCCAGGCTATGTGGAGAAGTGAGCGCGCGCGAACAGGACACTCCCAACCCACATGAGCCTATGGCAGAGGTTGCAGGCCCGTGCCTAGGTACCTGTCCAGAGACTGCTTGTGTTAGCGTCTCTTTAGGCACGTCCCTCACAGGTGTGGCAGAAGAGTTAAAGGAGAGAATGCCAGCCTGGGCCAAAATGAAAAGAGAGAGTAAGGGACAACTGATTTTGGTAGACGTAGAGGTTCTTAGAAGTAGAGTAGGGGCCCTTATAGACTCAGGGGTTACCCGTAGTTACATTAGCTATAGGGCGCTGAATAAGCTGAGCCTAGGACTAAAGGTCCAAAAGTTAGTAGACCCCATAGTCAGTATCCACACAGACAACCGCACGATGCGAGTTGAGGACTACGTAAAGGGAGTCCAGGCGTACTTTCGTCTAGAGAAGAATGGAAAAGTGGAGAAGATCCTCCATTCTTTGACTCTCCTCGTGCAGGATGACCTCCCTTTCGATATAGTGTTAGGAATGGATTGGGGAGAGGCAACAGGGGCCACACTTCATTTGAGAGAGCATGAGTGTAGGCTCCCTAGTCCGTCAGGCGAGGTTAAGACTGCCCGCTTGTTTCATGTGTCTGGTGTAGATAACACCTTGGCACATTGCTGTCTCAGTGCTCCCGCGTTCGCGCGATTAGTAAAGGAGCAGTTAGAAGACCAGGTCTTTGTAGTTYATGTYAGACCTGTCACTGAGGCCCAGGAAAAGGATAGTTCCACAGATCCAACAATTGCCAAGCTGCTGGAAGAATTCAAAGACTTGACTGAGTCGCCGACAGGAGTAGTGTCGCGACCCACCCAACACAGGATAGAGATAGAGCCTGGCAGTAGAACTCCTAAGGGTGCAGTCTACAGGATGTCCCCTAGAGAGTTAGAGGAGCTTCGCAAGCAGCTAGACGAACTCCTTGAGAAAGGTTGGATCAGGCCCAGTTCGTCTCCTTTTGGAGCACCAGTTTTGTTTGTCCCCAAGAAGGAAGGAGAGCTTCGTATGTGTATAGACTATAGGGGTTTGAATGCGATCACAGTGAAGAATGTTGAGCCGCTGCCCAGGATAGACGATCTTTTAGATCGGTTGCAGGGTTGTAAGTATTTCTCTAAGATAGACTTAAAGTCCGGATACCATCAGATAGAAGTCCATCCTGATGATTTGTACAAGACTGCATTCCGGACTAGATATGGGCATTATGAGTTTATAGTGATGCCCTTTGGACTGACCAACGCGCCAGCTACTTTTCAGCGTTGTATGAATGACCTGTTTAGACCGTGGTTAGATAAATTTGTGGTAGTCTACTTAGATGATATCCTCGTCTTTAGTAAGACCCTCCAGGAGCACCAGGGTCATCTGAGGCAGGTCTTGGAGAAGCTTAGAGAGGCTAACTTCAAGATCAATGCGAAGAAGTGCGAGTGGGCCAAGACGCAAGTCTTAGTAAGACCCTCCAGGAGCACCAGGGTCATCTGAGGCAGGTCTTGGAGAAGCTTAGAGAGGCTAACTTCAAGATCAATGCGAAGAAGTGTGAGTGGGCCAAGACGCAAGTCTTGTACTTGGGCCACGTGTTGGACGGAGATGGCATTAAGCCAGAGGACAGCAAGATAGCGACGATTAGAGATTGGCCGACGCCCCGCACGTTGACAGAGTTGCGGTCGTTCCTAGGCTTAGCTAACTACTACAGGAAGTTCGTGAGGAAAAGTTAAAGCGCGCTTTAATAGAGTATCCTGTCCTCAAGGGTGCAGATCCGTCCTTGCCATTTGTCCTCACCACGGACGTGAGTCAGTATGGGATAGGCGCCGTGTTGCAACAAGATGACGGCAATGGGTATAGACCCGTAGAGTTCATGTCCGCGAGGATGCCTTGTGAGAAAGACTCTACCTCCACGTACGAAAGAGAACTCTACGCCCTCAGGCAGGCTTTAGACCATTGGAAGCACTACCTGCTTGGGAGGCACTTCAAAGTCTACTCGGACCCAGGCCAAGATGACACCGAAGTTGACCAGGTGGGCCGCAGAGATAGACCAATTCGACTTTGAGCTCAAGCCAGTGAAAGGCAAGTACAATGTAGTGGTGGATGCTCTAAGTAGGAGATCAGACTATTTTGGAGTCGTAGTACATTATCTGGATATAGGGAGAGACCTGCAGGAGAGTGAAACAGGCGTATACGCAGGACCCTATCTATAGAGACCTCCTAAAGAGAGTTAGAGAGGCCCCAGAGACCGAACCAGATTACCGCACTACCGACGGGTTGCTGTTTGAGAAGACTAATGTGTTTGACCGCCTGTGCGTTCCCAACAGCGAAGAGATTCGTARTCTGATTCTAGGGGAATGTCACGATACTGAGGGACACTTCGGTTGGCAAAAGACGTTAGCCAATCTGATGCGTGTGTACACATGGCCAGGGATGAAGAACGATTGCATAGAGTATGTCCGCAGTTGTAAAGTATGCCAGCGAAACAAATCTACTACACGCGCGCCCTAGGTCTTCTCAGACCCTTGCCAATTCCGGATCAGCTTGGAGACTCAGTGTCCATAGACTTTATGGACACGCAAATTAAGAGCAGACATGGTAAGAGCCAAGTCATGGTCATAGTCGACCGTTTCAGTAAGTATGCAGTTTTTGTTCCTTTGCCTGCAGAGGCACGTAYMGATTTAGTAATACAGAAGTTCTTTGACTTTKGGKTWAGTGAGAATGGAATCCCATTGTCAATAGTTAGTGATAGAGATAGTCGTTTCACCAGCCAGAACTGGCAASAACTCATGAGAGTCTACGGATCTAAGTTGTTAATGTCGTCCGGYCGTCACCCAGAGACTAACGGTSAGACARAACAGATGAACAAGATCCTACAACAAGTTTTGCGCATGTATATTAGACCAGATCAGATCAACTGGGATGAGATGTTGCCCAAGGTCGCTAGTGCGTACAACAACAGCGTGCATCTATCCACCTGCCGCACTCCCAATGAGTTGCACAAGTCCTTTAGACCGCGCAGACCGTTCGAAGGACTGAACCGGGATCAGATTCACAGATTACCGCCCGACACCAGGGAGTTTGCGATACAGCACGAGAAAGAACTAGCAACTATTGTTGAACAAGCTAATAAGCACCGCTGCCCATCGCAGTTTCAGGTAGGCGACTTAGTCTGGGTCAAGGCTAAAGAGTTTGCACCTGAGGAAAACATCTCACAGAAGTTACTGCCTGCATATAGAGGACCGTGGCCGGTTCTAGAAGTCAAGGGCGGAGAGGATGGGCCGTCCTATAGCATAGAGATCCCAACACACCTCCACACATACCCTATGTTTCACGCTTCAAAGCTGCTGCCGTGTGTCACAAGTCAACAGTTCCCTTCGAGAAGATCCATGATCCCCCCGGATATGGATGGAAGTTATGACATTGAAGGCATTGTAGATGAGGATGTGTTCAGAACAGGAGGTAGAGGTCGTCCCCAGAAACAATATAAGGTCCATTTTGCTTATCAGGAACCGGAAGACGACCGCTGGTTCACAAAAACAGAACTTCTGGAAACCGCTCCCGACATAGTCAGAGCCTATGAACGTGACAAGAAAGGTAAAGGTCCCGCCTTGGACTGAAATGTTCTCAGAGGACCTCGAATTTAGGACGGCGGGAGTGAAACGGTTTTCACCCTTTAGCAGTAGCGGATGCAGTACCCAGGGTTCGATCCCTAGACCTCACCCTACCTATGTACGGTATCTGTATAGATCCCGAGAATTGAACCTTTGACCTGTGTATTCGCAGATAGTTGGTAAGTCTGTCGTAGGTCCATAGGCAGTAGGGGTTCGATCTGTAGGTCTATAGCGTAGAAGTCTTAGTGAGTTCTGGAAGCTTAGCTGTAGACCTTCTAGAAGATAGGCAAGTGGGCAAGTGGGCAAGTGGTCAAGTGGCGAGGCAAGTGGTGGACTAAACCGCAGTGCAACAGCAGTACAACGTCGGTAGGATAGCGGTGAGTCCACAGTCAGTCAGCGGAAGGTCCAGTCAGTCTCAGTCCGGTCCAGCAAGTACCACAGGGGACTGTAAGCACCATGGGCCGATGGCAAAGGGCAGACCAACAAGTTTCTGAAGTATAAATCAAGAGGTAGCGCCCAGTTATTCATTCATTTCCTGCGGGAGCCATGCGGAAGCGCTGCCACAACGCCTTGTGCAAGGAGGTCTGCAGATGAGCCCGGAGGTCGCAGTGGGCATAGAGGAGGAGTTAGCATAGCGATAGGTTAGATGCAGCGATARCTGCCATAGCTGTAGTTAGTAGTGAGTGTGTGTGTGTGTTCGAGTGTTAGAGTGATGCGTGTGGGATATCCAGGGTGATCCCGTGTATGTGAACAGTGAGATGTTTGGGCGCTGAAGTCGCCATAGCCAATTGAGAGTGAACTCGTATCTGAAAGGCATATCTTTGAGTTTTGAGTGGGCGCATGTCGCTAGTATGCTGCGTTGCTGTTTACATGCATGAAAAGTGTGTTTGAGAACGAGTCTGATTGCACAAGGGCTAAGGCTTACTGCTCCTCGCTCCGCACTCCAAGCTTGGTCAACGGTCGATCTTGGTCAACTGTACCGGTCAACACTTTGGTCAATCCTTTGACCACCCAGCTATGGTGGCTTCCTCTCTCTTCGTCACCTTCGTCCACTTCGCTCGCTGCTTCTTCGTCCTCAAGCTTAGCTATGGCCGACTTCTTCTTCTTCGTCGTCGGCTATGGCTGCTGTCACCTTATTCTTTGTCACCTCTCTCTTCTCTTATTTTCTTCTTCATCACTAGTCTTCTCTCCCGTCCTTTGCTATGGTTGTGCAGACAACGGGAACCAGCTCCAATACCACTGCATCCAGACTCGTCTCAATTTCACCTCCAACATGCATACATGCAGATGCCGATGGCAAAACAACTTCCTCAAAGAAGAATCAGCAACAAGCTTGAGATGGCCAGTGCGTCCACACAGAAAACTCATGGATATGGCCTTCAGCCAGGAATTCGGCTCAAGACAACTTGTGACATCTTGCGGTTGTGGCGTTTGAGCGCCAGTCTGAAATTCCCACCTGAACATTGTATCCACCATAAGACACACTCACACGCATGTATGCACACAACACTTGGATCTACCCTGAATGTCTGGACTCGCACACACTATCTTCTGTCTTTATCTTCTACACACGGGCGGCTATGGCCGCTGTTGTCCTCCACCTTGGGGCTATGGCCGCTTGCCCTATCCAACCGGGCTCTCCTGCTGACCACCTGTGACTCAACGTACAAGTCACTCAAGCAGCGCTTCTGCGTAGTTTGTATGAGAATGCGTCCATGACTGATCGCTGCCTCTTTATTTATACTGTTTCGTTTGGTGGTCTGGGCCTGCCCGATGTCCCAGGCCCTCAAGATGTGCAGTCCCACTCTGGTACTTGCTGCAAAACGGACTGGACTGGGACTGCCTTTTCATTTACCCCTTTGGGGTTGACTTGGGACTCTTGATCTTTCAGAGATTTGACAGGCTGCCTCTACTGACTTTGAGAGGTCAAGTTGACTCTTCAAGACCTAACCTAGCCACGACCTACTGACCTTTCAGAGGACGTGTGGCCAGTTGACCTTTCTGAAGGTCAAGTGTAAACTTGCCTTTTCGGGACACCTACAGGCGACCCTAAGACTTCTAAACAAGAGACCTATAGATGAAATCCACACAACCTGGGCTTCAAGGCACACGGGGTCAACGAACAACACAAACGTATTGTACACTGGGTTGGGAAAAGTTTGGGGATCAAGCCCCGGTATCTGCAATTGTTGCACTGAAAACCTTTTATACCTCAGGAACGTCGACCCTCTCCCACGCATCGATGATCTTCTCGAGCGATTGGGCGGCGCCCAATTTTTCTCGAAGCTGGATCTCAAGTCAGGATACCACCAACTCGAGATTCGCAAGGAGGACCGTTACAAGACCGCATTCAAGACACAGTATGGGCATTTCGAATGGTTGGTTATGCCAATTGGCCTTACGAATGCCCCGACCACTTTCCAAGCAGCTATGACAACAAAGTTCAGACACATGCTGGATCGATACGTACTTATCTATCTAGACGACATCCTGGTGTACAGCCGGAGTTTGGAGGAGCATGTGGAACACCTGCGCACGGTTTTGGAGCGGCTACGACAGGCCAAGTACAAAGCCAACCGCGACAAGTGTGAATTCGCGCGGCAGGAGCTGGAGTACTTGGACCATTATGTGACGCCGCAAGGCATCCGTCCGCTCGCGGACAAGATCGAGGCCCTACGATTATGGCCCGAGCCCACCAACACCACGGACGTTCGTTCATTCATGGGATTGGCGGGCTACTATCAGCGAGTCATCATCGGATACTCCAGGATTGCTGCACCTATGACGAGGTTACAGTCGCCAAAGGTGCCATTCGTATTCCATGACGACGCACGCCGGTCATTCCAAGCACTTAAGACGGCCATGCTCATGGCACCCGTCCTCAGTATCTATGAACCCCACCTTGCCGACGAGAGTGACTACGGACACTTTCCGGCTATGGCATTGGGGCAGTCTTGGAACAGCACGACGGCGACGACTGGTACCCTGTGGAGTATTTCAGCCACAAAGTGCCTCCCATCAACTCGCTTGATGATGCAAGGAAGAAGGAGCTACTCGCGTTCGTCATGGCTCTCAAGCGATGGCGGCACTTCCTCCTTGGGCGTCGTAGGTTCACATCGGTTACGGACAACAATTCATTGACCTACTACAAGACGCAGGATACGGTGAGCAGCACGATCGGACGATGGATGTACTTCATCGACCAGTTTGACTTCACACCGAAACATCTACCCAACCTCTCAAATCGCGCAGCAGATGCACTCTCGCGAAGACTAGATCTTTGCGCTATGACACATCATGCCTTCGCATTTGACGAGGAGCTTCAGCGACACTTCATCCGGGCATATGAGTCTGATCCGGACTTCGGCACTCTCTATGCACAACTATCTTCGGATCACCCGCCGGCCAGCCATTACCGCATTGCCGACGGGTACTTGCTCCTCCACTCGAGAGGCAAGGACTTACTATGTGTCCCACGCGACCGTCGTCTTCGGACTCGCCTCCTCGGCGAGTATCATGATTCACGACTCGCGGGCCATTTCGGAGTCAACCGCACTATTGCACGGCTTCGACAGCAATTCCGATGGCCCGACCTCATTACCGATGTCACTCGGTATTGCGACTCTTGCGAAGTTTACCGACGCAGCAAGCCCCACAACCGCAATCCCTACGGCAAGTACCACCCGATGCCTATCCCACGGGAACCCGGTCTCGCCATTGCCATGGACGTTACCGGTCCGTTTCCTCGCGACCGGCTCGGGCACGACGGCATCCTCACGGTTGTGGACCGACTGAGTAAGTACGCGCGTTTTCTTCCTTGCAAGTGCTACTCCACGGCTCCCGAGCTGGCACGCCTCCTGCACACTGGTTGGATTTGTGGCCACAGTGTAATCGATGCACAACCGCAGGTCCTTGTTCTTCTTCCGGACGAAGAGAACAGGAGCACCGTATGGCGATGAGCTAGGCCGAATCCAGCCTTTCTCTAGAAGGTCGTCGAGTTGTGCGCGGAGCACACTTAACTCTTCCTCGCTCATTCGGTATATGCAACCGCGCGGAGGTACGGCCCCGTCCTCGAGTATGATCTCGTGGCGGATGGGTCGATCCGGTACTACTCCGTGCGGGCCTTCGAACAAGTCGCTATATGCGTCGAGAAGCTCGGTGATGCGTGGATCCGAAGGTGAGTCCGTCGATGAAGCGTCATGGGGCGGGAGGGCGTGGAGAAAACACCCCCCCATCTCCTCGATGTCGTCTCTGATGATGGAAGCTCGCATGCTTGCGGCGGATACCACGTGGCAGCTGATCGAAGGATGAGGAAGGGGCACCGTGCATGAAACTAATACTCCGTTCCGATCACGAATGTGAAC